TGTCCACATGGTCACTCTCAACCACATTCTGCGTATAGATATCTGCGTAGAAGGTGGTTGAGAGTGGCCATGTGGGAATACGTATAAGATGATTGAGAAATAATCCAGTTAGCTAAGTTGGAGATCTTCCCTTCTGCGCCTGTTCTTCGGCTAAAAGATTTTTGTTTTCCTTTTCTGCACCACAGTCTCGGGTGTTAAATGACATAATTATAAATATTATCTTAGGGTGTTTTTTTTTTTCTTCTTTGAACGCTATTTGTATATTTTATGTTTGACCGTTGAAGAATCATTAAACGGCGTTTTTCATTCGTCGCATTTTTTTTTTACCTTAGTTTCACCTACCTTGTAATGGGTGCGGCGTGGGAGCTGGGTTTCAGCTATTCGAATCAGATGTTTTATTATATTCCAACACCACCACGGTTATTAGTGTCGTTTTTACATGGCATTTCGAAGCAAAATTAACACATTAGTATTAGTAAGAACTGAAAGAATTGAGTGATAGTTCAGTTTCTTAATCACGCGGGAAGTAGCCGACAAGAGATTTGCTAAGGTATTCAACACACACATCACAGTCACATCATTTCGATTATGTCTGTCAGTGTGCGCTGCTCTGAGATATGGTATGTTCCTCATTTCCGCACGAGTCATGCTTTACAATCCCTTCGCCATATGTTACCTTCTCCACTCAACAGGTGCCATCTAGAAAAGATAGATATATACTCTCTGACTAGAGCTGAATTGTATCAGTGTTTTATCTAACGCGGATGTCTCTGTATGACATTTTTCTTTTTCTCGCTTTTGCATAATATGCTTGCTGCCAAACGTTCTTGCGCTCTCACTTATTTGCTCTGTTTAGTGTTACTTAAGTACATGCCTAGTTGGTAAGAGGAACTTTATATGCTGTATAACGAGTCTCTCCAATGTATAACACTTTTCAGCCAGATTGCTATGCTTGTTTTGCTTTAGGGCCCCAGACCCCGTCAAGTTACCATATGGTAGCTTTATGTCTGGAGGCCCGCCAGAGTAAATTTCTGGAAAATAAAGATTTCATTCATTCGTTCGTTCATATTGATAATGGAGGGCATTTTCGCTTCACGTGGGTGGTATTTTGCCGATTTCGTTTGCTAAATGCCTCCCGGTCCCACAGAGGACCTGAAACCTCACATGCAGTGGACTAACTATATTTCACATTATAAACGTGTAAAGGCAACCTTTGGATTTTGGAGCATTTTCACGTTGTATTCTTATTAATTCATCGTTCGATTGATTGATTGATTGACGGATTGATTGGTTGGTTCACTTGTTCAATAATCGATTGATTGGTAGAGAAAATAATTGACCGTTTGATTGATTGATTGATTGATTGATTTCTGCAGGTACCATGGAGGGAATTCATCAGGCTTCTGCTCCTGCTGCTATGTTACAAAGCAACTCAACTTCTTCACGTCTCTGCCCTCAGCGCACGTAAGATTGGTCTTTCGGATACCCTGCTACGTTTCTAACGACGGTAATTCGGTGAAAACGCAAGCCACTAAAGTGAAGTGCGTCACTGCCGGCCTGAGTGATGATGCGACCGTAGTGACCACCAATGGCATTTCCGCCGGGTTGTCATCAGTACTAGATTCGGTGCATAAACGGTTTCACTAAAATATATTATCTTCTAAAACGCATCCTACGTATGACGAGTTTATGATATATGAGTATGAACCGGTTACTGCCGCAGTTGTTCTCTTCCATTGGATACAGCATAAACAGACTCGAATGATGTCAAGCAATGTACAATTGAGAATTGCATGGTACAAAATTTACGATGGGAAAGTTTTGATAAAGGAATGTCTTTTCTATGTTTACTTTAAACGTAATTTAAGATGTCAAACATCTCATTATTGATGCCAATTAACAGGACTCGATGATACAGGATAACAAGTTGTGTTTAAGTAAAAAACAAAACGCACGTGATGTCAGCTATAGGTGTGTACTAGGCAGTGTTTGTTTATATGCAATGTAGAAGTGATGCTATATGTTGCAAATTTTCTATTTAAAAGAAAAAAAAAAAAGATATGAAACCGGTAGTGTGCTACGAGAACCTTACCGTAGTGTAGAATTTTGCGTATACGCGGAAGCGATGTATTGCAGAAAGGTGCCGCTTGTTGGCCCCTTGCACATGAAACGCACATAATATGTTTTGCTTACCTATTACTGCACGCCATGTTAGGGGACTCTGCTTGCTCGTAAATCTCTTTGATGTGTCGCTTCACCTACAAATATATTTAAAAACTATTTAGGGACGCGTAGCGCAAAATACGAAAACGGACAGCAAGAACCCGCGACAGTGCTGACATTCAGCGGAAGTTACTCCAAATGGCACATAGGATAAATACGAGAAACGTCGATTCGCACACATAAGAAACTAGTATCTCAGACTTGCGCTGTACTGTACGTTTTTAAATTTGAATATCCAACTCACCCCAAACTCCCACAGGAAAAAAAAATTATTTCACACGCGAGCGCGTGTGAAATATCGAGCAAATATCGAGGAAGGTAATACCTTCCTCGATATATGCACACTGTCTTCTGGTCCGCCTTATGGAGGTGTGATAAAAAATGCAGTGCTGACAATGAAAACACTGAGTTTGTTATTTTTAAACTTTCAATATAAAAACTTTGAGAGCTATGAGCTAATAACATTCGCATTATCTGTTGTAAGTCTGTTCTGGCAAGTGGTCCGAGCGCTTTTGAGTTTCTAGAAGTCAAGACAAAACCTGTTTTTTTTTCTTCTTTCTAACAAGTTGCTTATTATTACGCTATTTACTCAGGCTGAATTTCCAAAGTAAAAAAAAAAAAAAACAGTTGAAGGGACGTTTTGGTAATAGAGGGTTAGTTTGCAATTAAAATTTAATTTTGTATTTATCATCAATCAAAGTCACAAGTCACATAACATTGTAAATGAACGAGAAGAAGGTTACACAAAGTAAAGGAGCAATTGTGGTACATACATGATGAAAACAAAACTGTATAAAATCTATTGAAAAGCAGAAAGGAAAACCATTATACAATTTTAATAGAGTATCAGATATTAAAAAAACAATGCTAACTATATAAAAACTTTTAACAGCTAAGAAGAAAAAAGGAAACACACACATACTCAAAAAAAGCCAGGAAAACGGACAGTTGCTTCTCATTTATCTGGTATTTGTGTGTGAGGGATGATAGTGTATGTATAAAAAGAGTACAGCACGAATGGACACAAACATGCTGGTGGATCATACAAACTGTAGGACAGAGAAGGTAAAGTTGTTCTGACTGCTGTTGTAAAGACAAATCTCGATAGCTTTGCCACGCGCTGAAATGTGGGACGTTTTCTTATTATACAATGGTAAACAACACATTTTTCTAATTGATCAATAAATTTAAAAAAAGTAATAATAAACAGACAAAAAACACACTTGATCTGTCTCACCTCCAACCTTCACATTTAAAATATATGGGCGTTTAATGATTATGTAACTAAATATTGAAGTTAATCGGCTTATTCGATAGAGCGTCTGAAATATGAAGCGCAAATCTACGGGGTCGTTGGAAAAATATATTGAAACGGTGTTTTTGCGCACCACAAGCGTAGACTACATGTCGCCGAACGCCCAGTCTCACCAAGATTGTTGCGCAAGTGATTAGAATTGAATTATAAACTTTCAGAGCTTAGCGTTACCCAATTCAAAAGCCGGGAACAATTTTTCGAAATTTTCAAAAAGGAAATGGGGCCCGTCCCGGTCGCGGGCGCTATTATTCTCCATTTAATCGCCGGCTTCGCGTTGGCCGCCATTTTAGAATTGAAAGAATTCGAAACCCACTCTTACCTTTGTTAATAAATTCCCGCAGGCCCCGAAACTTTAATTTCTCTTCCCTACTACTAGCGCCATAGATTAGGGGCGGAGACTGCGGAGCTTGCCGATATAGGCCATGTTCCCAAATTTACTCGATCTTACTCCAGGGTAAGGGTTTTGTGCCCTTGGCGTTCTAAAACCTACCCGCGTCCAGCGTTTTCCAATCTTTGCTGTCACGTGACACGATCCGCCGGAGTAACTAGGATCCATTTGGGCAAGATTTGGAACACAGTCATGTAGTTTATTTTTACGGTAAGAAAAAAGGCTATTCGGATTCCTGACCTGTACATAAGAAAAAAATTTCATGTCGCTATGGCTCAATACCAACAGATATTTGCTAAATTGAGGACGTGTAGACATAAACATGAAAAATAAAATAGCATTATAAGGTAAAGAACGCGAAACTATGTACGGTGTACCCTTTCTTATATTAACGTGCCCAAAGAGAGACACGTGGCAATATTCAGCGGAACGGGAAAGCACTGTAGACATTTCGCTGCACCTCACATTTGTAACGTGCGCGTTTTGACAACTGGTGTAATAGTCTGAAAGGAAGCCTTCGTTTGATAGACGAGCAAGGGTGACTATATACCGACGCGCTGTTTCCAAAGCAAGGCCGCGTGTGCCTACACAGGTGTATGAACATTGCGCGTGCACAGAAACCGCCATCGCGTGAGAGGAAGCGTCTGCGCATGCCCAGTGCGGACAGCAGCGCCACCGCACGGGCGTGACGTCAGCGGCCTGAGTTGGTCTATAGTCACTGACAATCTCATTGTCGCCCCGCAGCCAATCAGATTGCGACACTGGTCGACAACAACGCCGAAGTCCAGCCGTGCCTGCTTTTCTTGAGCTCTTGCGAGCCTATGCGGAGAGCATGTTCGTCTGCTTCCTGCGCAGGAGTTTCGGTGACGTCAGAACGACGCGAAGCTCTGATTGGCTTTGATTGAAAGGATAGTGGCTAGACCTCAATGCTAGCTGCCTCGAGGTCTACCCACTATCCTTCCGATTGGAGCCAACCAGAGCTCGGTGTTCTGACGTCACTGCAAGAAGCAGACGAACTTTCGCCCCGCATAGCACAAGGGACGCGCGTTATTAACTTTTTTCTTCTTTTCGTATATGTGTATACTTGCAGATTGCCGCTGCGTGACGTTCGACGAGACGTTCGGCAAGGAGTACGGCGTCTTCACGTCCCCCAACTATCCGGTCCCGTACGAGGAAAACATCGAATGCGTGCTCTTTCGCTTCGTCGGCACGCCGGACCAGATCGTTCGCATCTCTTTCGAAGAGTTCGACGTGCAACGAAGCAATCTTGAGTACGCCGGATATTTATTAATTATAATATTTTTTTTTTCTGTATTAAAAAAGCTTTATTTTATGTCTTAGGTCCGTACTGGAAGTCATTCGAACATTGGGAAGCTAGGTTTCGCTATTCACACAACGCATAATTAATCTGGTTCCCTCGGAAGCCTTCGCCCATTGGCGTGTCGAGGAGAAACTTGGCGGGCTAAGATAGCAGCGAAAACACCTAACATATTGTAATGACAGCTCGAAACACTTCCATGTTAAAAAAAAAACTGCCGTGCCGATTTTGTTAAATTAACAAAAGTATAAAGAAAAGATTGTTCTCGTACAATTCTGACGAACGCACAGGCAGGAGCTCGTCGATTTGGCAAGTGGTGTTGCCGCACCTTATCCTATATGTGCACTTAGAACGAGGTCACCTATTTGGCAGAGACTCGTGAAAATTGTTTAGCAAGAATCACTCAACTTAATGTCACGATCTATTCAAAATCTCTTTAAAAATCACCTCTTTAAAAACGTAGTTTCTACGTGCCCTTGAAGTTTGACAATTACAGAATCTGTCTGCATCGTTTTTTACATAAAGATTACGAGTGCTTCAAACAGTTTGTACATTGCTTTAGTTTCTATTGCAATGGAAGGTTAAAAAAATAATGATGGGTCGTTTTCTCTGCGACTGTGTATTCTGAATAATTTGTTTAGATGCGCTTGTTAACCCATCAACTTACGAAACAAAACAAAACAGGTATCTATTTATCTCGAGGGTTTCACATTTGGTATTCTCTAACACCGTTGTATTTCTAGCATTGAAGGTTTACTTGATGAAAATATTGATTGCTCTGGTTAAAATATTGCTTACATCTATATACATATAGCATATATCGCAACTTGTCCTACCTTTTTGCTTTCACCCTCATTTAAGGCATCACTGGTTGCCTCTGAGGTAGGATGAACAATAAAAAAAAAAAGATCTCCAGCTCAAATTTAGGACGGATGGTTCATGTGGAGCTACGCATGCTAGAAACGACCGTCATTGCTTACTCGAGTCAGCGTGCAAACTAGCTGGTGAAGATTAGGCATAACGCAACTCCGATACTGTAGGCACGAAAAGGACGAGCGCACAAACAGTCTCGGGGCTCGAGACTTTTGGTGTACGGGTCGTCCTCCAATTACCGGCAGTCTCGGGGTTGTGTTATGTTTAATTGTTTCCGCGTCCCTCTCTGTCTGTCGCTCGCAGGTGTGTGTATGGGGACTACGTGAAGCTGTTCCTACACCTAGACGGCGAGGAGTCCGTGAACAGCCGCAGCCCGTACAACTCAATTCTGTGCGGCAAGATCGGGGACATCGAGATGACCCACTACTCGTCGGGCCACGCGCTCATCTTTGAGTTCCACTCGGACTGGCGCCAGGGAAACAACTCGGGGTTCCGGGGAACCTACAGGTTTCTCAGCAAAAGTAAGCCTTCCCTTTTGCGTTTCAGCTTCAACCGCAGAGACGCGGACCAAACAACAAACAAAGAACCATTCCATATCTACCATTCAGACTCTTACGCGTCCTCCTAACAACTAATCAAATTACTCGTAATCGATTAGTTTTTTAGTAAGTTTGTAATCGCTTCAATCCACTTCAGGAAGCAACTGCAAAAGTACTTTTTGAAAGCAATAGAATCCATTTTAACCATTTATATTTTTTCCTCCCCTTCCAAGTGGCACCCTTTCTTTGTACAAGTTTCCCATCAAGGAATGCTCGAACCAAGTCTTCGAGAGGAGGATGGTTTACCAAAAGTTTTGGATTAAGAATTAAGGATTCATATTAAGAACTCAAGGGTAAGAAACTCAGAGTTCGGTGATTTAAATCCAACATTGGACAGCACGAAAGACAAGTTTTCAAGTTTTCGAAGCGGTAGAAAAATATGTCCTTCCGAACATCTCAAATAACCGGAAAAGTAACAGTCCCTTTTTTCAGTGTAAAGGCCGATTACTTTTCTTCCCAAGTAATAAAGTTATCTAACTGAATACTTTTTTTAACGAAGAATAATTGTAAGTGTGGTCCGTTACGTTTTGTGAATAGCGTTTACAAAACCGCGTACCATCGTATGAAAGCGTTATGTCGCAGGTTAAAATAACTTTTATTGTCGACCAGAACGTGTGTACCTAACATGACTGCTCTCCAAACCCCCAAAAGTCTCGAGCAACGGCAATGTCCTTTGCCTCGCCTGGGAACCCAATGTTGCCAACTGCAATGAAGTTTAGGACAACTTTAACGGACACATCGGGAAGCTTACATTGTCTGAACGATTAAGGTGTATTTTTATCTTTTTTTAAAGCATGTCATGCTTTCTAGCGCTACCCACCAATCCCCAACTTATGCCCGTCCGTCCGCCCGCCCGTGCATTTCCCGCAACATTTAGCGGGGAAATTGGCGTCACGTGACCTACACTCCTTGGGGGAATTGACGGCACGTGACTATACGTCAACTCAGTTTCCCCACTAAATTTAGCGGGAAAATCTACGTCTTGAGGTCAAAACTTCAATTCAGTTTCCCCGCTTAATTTAGCGGGAAATTGACGTCATGTAACCCATACACCAATTCAGTAACCCTCTAAGTTTAGCGGGAAAATTCGAGACTTGTGACCTAGACACCAGTCCAGTTTCCCACCTAAATTTAGCGGGGCAAATCGACGTCATGTGACCTGACGTCACGTGACCTGTACAACCATTCAGTTTCTCCGCTAAATTTGACGGAAAAATATACGTCACGTGACAGACCAATTCCCTATATGCATTTCATGTATTATAGGATTTGGTAAAAGTTGCCGTCAATTTCTTTTTTTCCTGTTAATCTTGTGTTTTTGTTTGCCTTGTAGTACAAGAGGTCTCCTCAAGCCTCACAAAAGCAGCTTTTGTTATTATTTTTTTTTGAATCCCCCCTTTTTTTGAATTGTTTAAGATAGAAATAATCTGTGTTTCAATTTTTCAACACCGAGTAGCTTCCGCTCGATATCAATGCGTTTGTCTAAATGCGGAGACAAAGTCGTCTGCTTCTAGCACAAGAGTTACAGTGACGTCAGAACGACACCGAGCTCTGATTGGCTTTGGTTGAAAGGATAGTGGGTAGACGGCAATGCTAGATGCCTCGAGGTCTACCCACTCTCTTTTTCCATCAGCCAATAAGAGCACGGCATTCTGACATCATCGCAACCCCTGCAAAGAAGCAGACGAAGTTGCGCTCCGCACAGGTAAGAAGCCGGCCATAGAAATCTATGTTTCGACTGAAAGTACGTAATACCGCTGCTACGCAGGTATTTCAGGTGGAAGGTAGCCACATCCTGGCTAACTTCCTTGGGATCCTGTTTATGCACGTGCCACTTGGCATAACATTCTTCGCTGATTTTTTTTTTTTAATTACTTTCTGAGCAATGCGTTTGAAATACTCTTGCGAAAGGAGTATAAGTAGGGGGTGAGTGAAAGTACAGCTTTGGAGTTACACAAACTATGCTCTGTTTTATACATAAATCACAACACAACGAAGTGAAACGTGCTCGCGCGAGCGTGTGAACTTTAATAGCTTTCCGTGTGCACGAGTAAATGCGCAATAAAGATGAGAATTAGACTTAGTGAAATTAAAGCAAAGGTGTAGGGGAGTTGGTGCACAGTTGTAGTGTTTGCCATTTTTTGTTGTTTTTCTTCGTCTGAAAATTTTCTTAGCATGATTGGCAGCCCTCGGGGGTATCATAGACGCCTTTTAGCGCGCTATATGTTACCTGTCAAAAAAAAAAAATTGAGGGGCGCGTGCTTTGCTTGTGCGGTGTGCGTAGGTCAGCCCCATAGGCCAGCCCCTCGAGTCTGTAGCCGAGATCTTGTACCGTGATCGTTATCTTCCAATTATCGTTAAAAAAACGCTATTTTTTTTACAAATATAAAAATTGAGTGAAAACGAATTGACTCTGCATGACATTTTGGTATTTTTTTTTAAAACATCCGTGAAAAATAACTTACAGTGTGCTGAATGTTAGTTTTTGGTAATGTTCCTGAGATTCTTTTTACTATGCTCAATATTATCTTAAATATACGATTGGCACCCGATGAGTTTATGAGTGGTTTATTTTAATATGAAGGACAATTTAGAAGGTAACAATTATATATTTTTTTCTCACACGGTTGATTTATTAGGAAGCAAAACTACCTAAAACTTTCCCCTTTGAGAAATTTAAGTAGATATTTGGTCCTTTGCGAGAAATAATTTTCTTCCGCAAAGTAACTTTCGATCAATCTAAGTCCTTGCTCGTAGGGCGAATAGTTGCCTCATTGCACAAACAGGCAACACGGAATGGTAGATGTACTGACGACGTAGTCCGACTGTATCATAAGAAGAAGGAACTGAAGGCACTGCTCCAAGATTGCAATAATAAAACCGAAATTTCGGAGGTCCACGGCCCAGCGATACTATACGGTCGGGTGACCTGACTCATTGATGGACTAAGGAATAATGTAAACCACCACCTCGGGAGGATCTTTAATAAGCGCCAGCATCTCAGTATTCGCAGTACCACTGTAGTATTCAGTCTAGGGTTGTTCGGAGCAACCAAGTTTTAGCAATATGTTTTAACACGAAGCAGATATACATGTAGAAAGTTACCCTAACAATTGTCTTTTTACATGTGGTGAATATCGTAATGCTTTTGGTGTCCAGATGGTGACATAGGAAATGATAAGATATTAAGTATTTTGTTTTTGGCACAGCTTTAGTTTCTAGAAAAGGGAGGTGCCCCATAAGACCTTGGTTTTCTCAACTGATACAATGTGTCACTGAAACACTTTTACATTATGTTTTACCGCGAAAATAAGCTGCGCATCTTTGAAGGCTCACATTTCGCCCAAAGGTTGTGCTAACGGTCTGAGCCAGGTGCCATACCTTCAGAACTAACCGGTGTCTTATTCGAGAGTTATAAGTGATTTTCTGATAATATCAATGGGAAAATACGTGGAGTTTAGCGGCCTTACCAAGAATGGGCTCATTTTCGCATTGTAATTTGTACAAAAACACATAACCTTTGAATACGATGAAGTTTACTTCTAATACTTAGGCTTCTGGTTCAGACCGCTAGCGCTACATTTGGACGAAGGCTATGCGTTCGGCAGTGTTTAATTTTGCGTTAAAAAGAACACAAAAACATCGTAATTTTTTTAGGGGGGGGGGGGGGGGGGCACGTTGCACATGTATATTTTATATATATATATAAGATAAAGTCTATCCTGAGATTTTTCAATGTGCAAAACTGGTCTCGCTTTGTCCCGCACCTGCAAAGGGCTTTCTCGTGCAGCTATGATTAAGCGGGTCTTTTGGGATCGTGCAGAGCAATTCGAGACGGACGGCTTCCCCGTGGCGGACTCCCGGTGCAGCTACCTCATGGAGAGCGCCAACCGGACCTCGGGCCGCTTCTTCTCCCCCCAGTACCCGAGCTCGTACCCGAGGGACGTCAAGTGCGCTTACCGATTCCTCGGCAAGGAGAACGAGCGCGTCAAGGTGCTCTTCGAGCAGGTCCGACTCCAGCGGGGAGACTTCAGGTGGGTGCAGGCTTTCTTCGTTTCGAGCCCATCTCGCGGTGGGAGGCCGTCATGTTTGCTTAAACTCACTCACTCAAAACCACTTGAATAAAATATGTAATTCATTCACCCTCAATCTCACAATAAAAAAAAAAAGTTAAAAACTCACTCACCTTCCGCATTTATCTTCAAGTCCTCACTCAAGAACTCATGAAACTCAACGATCTATTGTACTCACATAACTAATAAACCGAGTGAACTCACGAACTCACTGAAATCGTAAACTCATTAAACTCATGAACTCACGTACTCACCGAATTCATAAACTCACCAAACTCATCAACTCACGTACGCGTCGAACTCAAAAACTCACCGAACTCATAAATTCACCGAACTGATAAACTTACCGAACTCATAAACTCACTGAACTCAGACTCACCGAACTCGCGCTTCTCGCTCAACTTTAATCTGATTACACATGGGTAAAATCAGCACAAAAAAAGAAGGAAACTGTAGAAGAATGCAAGAAACAGGACAGACGCTGAACTCACAACTCAATATTTCATGCAGAAGAACTGATCATTAGTCATTTTCAAACATCCATCGAGCAACATTGGCAGTCGCCATTGCTTGGACACGAAACGCGTGATTGGATCCGAGTACTCGTCGAATGTTGACGCAGCACTCACTTTGAATACGAGCTGAGCCGAGTTCACGCCGAACGCTGACGGAGGCCTCCTGTCCAACAAACGCTCAGAGCATGTGAGCGAGCAATGGCGGACAGGCGTGGGTGCGGACTTTTGAAAAGGGTTATTGAGTTAATGAGTTCAGCGTCTGTCCTGTCTCCTGTGTACTTCTACACTTTCATACCTTTTTTTTTTCTCTGATTTTAACCACGTTTAATGCTTGCCAACTAGCCCAGCTCACAACCCTTCTACCTTCAAACTAGTGAGCTTTTGAGGCTAAAGAACTCAGTGATCCTAGCCTCAAGCCTGATCGGTGGTGGTGAGTGAGGTGAACGAGTGCACTCGTGAATGAGTCTTGCCGAAGTGTGGTCGCGGTTCGAATTTGAAACCAGATGCGATGCATTGGCGCCCATTTGGTAGATGATTTTCTTTCTGTACTCAGCGGTGTGCATTGTTGTCGGTTAATATAGCATTAGTGCATCTCAGCCTTGTTGGTAAGAGATAAGTTAGGAGGTCTCGTGGCTTCAACTTAGTAGACGATAAGGCTTTACACGCAATTTGCAAGATAGAAACATAGCGTGAAACACAAAATGCCCAAAATCTTTAAAAAAAGACCAAAAAAAAAAACACGCGGTTTTCAATCTTCTTTTTACCTTCGAAGTGCTGAGACCGAAACGCTATACTAATCAATACGGGCTTAATTACCTAGAAGTTGACTTCTTTCTTGTTAGGAAATTCCCATAAAAATCTAATGAATGGATAGCGTAATCGTCTTAATAGTAAGTGTACGATGCTATTTGTTTAAGATAAACTTGGTGACGTGTGAAATGGATAGCTTTTGTGCGCTCAAACAAATATTGCGCCTATCCCATACTACGCTACAAATGCAGCGAAAGGGTACAGGGGCAAGCATCAATTGAAAAAGTGTATTGTGTCCAATACTAGATTCCAGAGATTACAGATACGAAAACGACTGGCGCACTGCAAATGTCTGTGTATAATTTTTTTTTTATGATTGGCTGTACATTTAATAGGCAGTTTTAGTAGACTGTACGCGAAAGCTTTGCGTACGCAAAAAAATATCGGGGTTGGGAGTGACCACACGCAGAAAGCAATAGAAGGGATAGCATATTGCATACGCATGCTACGCAGTGGATTTCGCGCTGTAGGCTCGCGGGCTTCCTCGTGCCCAGCGAGAGCACCACTTTCAAGATGGCGGCTACCTCGACTGGCGCAGCATAAGTGACGTGGTGTTCGCAAAGTTCTGTGTTGTTTGAAGTTACGTGGTGCTCAGCTTGGCAGTTCTTTATGGGACCTATTGCAGTCGAGCCAGACCGCCGTGTAGCTGAAGGAGGGCAATATGAAAATGTTCACAACTCGCAATATGCGGGAACGCTGCGATCTGATAAACGCTACGCCTCTTCGAGCAGTTCATGGCCAACGGTTAAACGACTCTTCAAAAAATCGCAGAAGTTGTCGCAATGCCCTGGACATCAGTAGTTTATAAATTTCTTCCCGCGATAGCATCGATAAAAGGTGTCATTTCCACGGGATGATTGACGGAGGCTCCGTGATCGAATGTGGCTATGCACTCGTACTCGTATTCCAGAAAATCGCGCTTGACCAGGCAGCTGCGTCTTGGCTTAATCTGAACTAAAACGGTTAAAAACGTTTTCCGGCACTGTGAGCGCGCGGAATTATACGGATTTGGCAAATGCAATCAAGATCATTCAATATGTTCATTCAGCAACGTTTACGGAATGCACAACAAAAGTCGGTCCGAGCAAGTAGTTTTTGACGTACGCCATACTATTGCGTATTGCGTACATAGCCAGAAATGCTATGCATAAAACTGTCTAAGATCGGTTAAGGTTAGTCCTCTGTCAGTTTTTACGTTTGTGGTGTCCTATGTCTCCGTATGCCCATTTCTACAGTAGATACTATATATATATACATGTTGGAAAGCCTATGATAGGTCAACTGAAGTGACTGAAGACTGATTCTCGCATTTGCGCTTGAGTGTTATCGATTGCGCAACAACCGCTTGTGAGCGCTTACGACATAAGGACAGACTAACGTCATCTATAGGTTAGTCCTGGAACTCATTCCTATTTGCACGTATTTTACGTATCTTTTATTCACCGCGTTTTCTAAATAATTACGAGAATGTATTTATCTTACATTGTTGGTAGATTTGATTTCGCAAATAGTGCGAAAATCTTCACAAAAGTTATACGCAGTTCGAAAGTGTTTCCGGGGATTCCCGATAGATGGTGCCACCGGGACAGCGCGCTCTATCGTCGTGAGCGGTGGCGAGGCAGTCGATCACGCTGAAACGCATACGTTTATACCAGCCTCGATGAAACTGCAATTAGGTGTATAAAAATTGGCGGCGGCCTTTCTCTCCAAATTCCTGAAATGCATGAAACGCACCATTTAAGGAACGATCGTCTAAATTCGTTTGGAAGACATTAAACACTCGTTTCGGTGAGTGAAAAAGAACCTTTATTTTATCAATTTAGCGGGGAAACTGATTTGGTCCATGCATCATGTGGCGTCAGTTTTCCCGCCAGATTTAGCGGGGAAAGAAAACTTGTGTATACGTCCTCGACGTCAGGTTACGTGACGTAACTTTTTTCATTAAATTTAACGGGGAAACTGACTTAGTGCATAGACTACGTGACATCAATTTCCCCGCCAAATTTAGGGGAGAAACTGTTTCGGTGTATACGCCATGTGGCCTAACGTCACGTGGCGTCAATTTTCCAGCTAAATATAGATGAAAAATTTAATTGGTGCATAGGTCACGTGATGTCAGGTATCGCGACATCAATTTTCCCCGTTAAATTTAGAGGGGAAACTAAACTAGTTTGCGGCTCACGTGACAAAGTTTTCCCGCCAGATTTAGCGGAGGAACTAAATTCGCGTGCAGGTGACGTGATGTCAAGTCACGTGGCATCAATTTTCTCCGCCAAATCTAGCGGGAAAACTAAATTAGTGTACAGGTCACGTGATATCTGGTCACGCGACATCAATTTTCTCCGCAAAATCTAGCGGGGAAGCTGAATCAGTGTATGGGTCACGTGACGTGAGGTCACGTGAGCTAAGATTTTCCTTTACACCTTCACAGCTCAAGGCTAGTTAACGCAGCACCGTTTTCTTACGTTACGAAACTTACGGACCCTTACCTTGAGATACTAACACCACAAGTCACCGGCACATCCATGCTTCGTATTCCTGGTGTTGCCAAGCTACTCCTTTAACTGGACACAACGCTTCGTACGATGCAGGAAAGCGTAGGTGAGCTTCGTAACGAAAGTAAGCGGTGCTGCGTGAACTAAAGTGGCTTTAGTGCAAACCACTTTTTACTCGAATCATTTCCCTCGTTGATGGTTTGGTAGATGCGAGTCCTCCATATCGTGGACATTTTCCCGTATGTGCAGCTGTTTCAACAGTCCGGACGTGATCCTGGTGCACGACGGCCGAGACGGCAGCTCTCCGGTCATCGGCCAGCTGTGCAACCGCAACGTTTGGGTGGAGATGATGTCCACGGGGCCGGACCTGTACATCACCTTCAGTTCGCAGAGCCACTTCCCCGGGAGGGGCTTCATGGCCAAGTACACCTTCTCCGAGGCGCCTTACAACGGTTCCCTCGACCAGCTCGTGTCCATAGGTGAGCAGTTGTAGACCACGTTAAGGTAGACCACTTTAGGGGTCGGTAAGGTCGAAAGCCTAGACTACCGGTAGGAGGCGGTTTACACGTACAGAGTGGGAGAAATGGATTGAACGCAATTTAGATTGACGGCATTAATGGGTTTCTTAACCAATCGCGCTGGGATTTACTACAAAGGTGCCTGCAGTTGGTGGAAGCTTTCGCTAAAATTGTGGAAAGATTGGCTTACCTGAATAAATCAAGAAAAAAAAATTTCCCTATACTTTGCATGTAGACTAAAAAAAAAGGTTATGTGTTACTGTGGCAGTTATTTGGGTTAAATGAAGTGAAGAATGGTTCTCCATTTTACAAATTTTTCTATCGTAATTAACGCCAGAGTAGCCCACAATGATTTTATGATGATCTTGAGGTAAAACGCTTAGCAATAATATTTCTATAGACGATTTTGTTTCTTTATTTTGTTTTGGGGGGTTTTGTGCATCCATACTCTCAATAAATTAATGCACCAGCCTCGAGCACCTCTGTAGTAAATCCCAGTGCGATAAGTTAAGAAACGGATTGATGCGGTCAGTTTAAATTGCGTTTAATCCGTTTCGCCCACGCCGTATATATGCAGTTCTGAGCCAGCTTCGTGAATTAAATCCAGAAGCGTGCGTAGAGTTTTCATTTCTCCATGGAAGCCACACCGTTCTTGAGGTGCACTTGCGTGTTGCCTCAAGGCTTTTGTAGCCGCACGGGAGGTGATCTTGGTGGACTACGTGTCGGGGTTCCTTGTAGTAGCTGCATGTCGGTAGTGCCCTCGCCTGTACCCACGCAACCCTTACGTTCGATGTGCAGGTGGTATTGGGTCTAATGAGCCTTAAGGGGATGTGAACTCATTTGGGAACTCAGGGGACAGGTTTTGCCAACTTGGAGTGATTCTTCCGCTAATACAGCCTGTTTATTATTGCCGTTCGGCTGAAAAGAAACAATCAAAGTGGCAACTCGCAAAGAAAAGAGTTGCCTGGAGTGTGTGCGTTTTCTGCTGCAGCGTGTTGCTTGAACGCCGTTCGCAGTTTTGGAGAAACCAACAGCAACATTTTTTCTTTACGAGAGTTGTGATCCCCCTGTAAAAGAAGTCAGCTTGCTAGCCCAGGATAACGCTACACTATTTTTCTTCTTTTTCTGTACTAAGTTTACGAAGAAACGGGGTCAACCAAGTATACATAACAGCGCCTCCTTTGGATTATAAATATAATTATTATTACGACATTTTTTGTTTTTCGCATTAATAATTCGTCTTTCTTAACTTTCTTTAGCTAGAAATTATGTTAAGAGTTCAGTTAAGTTAATTAAGTGTGTTGTTTGGGCGATGACTCGAAGAATAAATTCTTACATGAACTAAAATATATCATTCAAAAATGTTTTGTTATAATTTTATATCATATTTCCGTTATCCTTTTTTGGTTCACCGAAGCCAAAATTTTTTTTCTCTGTCGTGTTTCGACACAGATCTATGTCGGCCAAAAAACGTCTTGCCGTAAATATGGTATAATCGGCAGTTAATACAGGTCAGTTTCTTTTGTAGCTTACCGTTTCGAGTGCCAGTACCTTCTTTCTGAGCAGAAGGAAAGACTGTTTATAACCGTCATTTTAAATTTCAATCGCCGTCGTTAATAACAGCCTTCGGCACCGTACTAAGTCTTCAGATAAGTGTTGTCACTTCTGGGTACATGCCTGTGAAGGGGACAGAAAATAGGCTGAGAAGCAAACACAGTTAGATAAAATACGCTAACCCCCTTCATTCGAGGTAAATTGAATAAATATAAAACGTCAAAAGAGAAAGCAAAAACTCCGATTCTACTAGTTTTTGGAATTAAATTCTTCAGTAGTGGTTATTTTAACTTGTTCATCTCAAGTGCGAATAAAACTTTCAACTATGTCGCTCACGAAAGAGAGGAACAAACGTTCTGATTAGTGTCTTTCCTGAATAGTTTTTGTTTAGAATTTATAAAAGATGTAAAACACTGTTTAAAATACGTATTAGTAATTATAACAAGAGTGCACTTGTTTTTGAAGTTGGAGGTTCAAAGATGAACGAGACGATACACCTGAAAGTGGACAGGAAATATGAAAGGGAGGCTGCACTCTATGCGCTGCGTGCGGTGCTCCCAAGACTACACGAGGGGAAAAAATGAAGAGACCCAAAAAATGCGAAAACAGTAACCCACGAAGATTGCACATAAAACGTTTGTTTTAAATTCATCCGCCCGCTCGTGAACTCTCAAAAGAGTCAACCGACCTTTGACCTCTAAGCTTTGTTTTCAGGTGAAATAAAAAAAAAATGTTTTTGCTCAAAATTTAAAACATGTTTTTGATTATTCGATCCTTCCTCTTCGGCAGATATTTTACACTGCAGAAAACAGACTCAAATAAAAGAACATTTCATACACGCATTTTTAGTCACAAAGCTGTAATAAAGTTCTCACAAAAAAAAAGAAACGAAAAGTTTATAAAGCTTGGCCTATGAATACTGTAAAACCCTTTATTTTCGCGGCCCCTGTTTTTCGCGAATCGGTCACAGATGACATAATCGCGACCACTAAATTTCGCGAATTCCAGACGCCTGCATTAAAAATCTTAAGGACCGAAATTTTCGCGCGCCCTTAAATTTCGCGAATTCTTCAATTCGTGAAATTCGCGAAAATTGAGGGCTCGCGAACATTAAGGGTTTTACAGTATTCAAGTTATAAGAGTCCAATATTTTCCTTAGAAATTACACTGGGCGTCGGCAACTTAGATTTAAAGGAACCATGAGCCGATATTGAGTTCAAATTTTACTTACTGCATATCGCTTACTAAAAATATATATATATATATATATATATATAAGAAAGAAACCAGCATATGGAGGCTGGAAGTCAGAATCGTGTTTTCACTGTCATATGTCGCAAATGCGCCCGCACAATTTCTTTTCCTCTTTCATTTGAACATTCGGCTTCCCGTCTATATCGATGTGTGTCCAGTGCACATTTAGCGCGGTGACGGATACCGTCGAACTATGCTCGGTGCACAGCATATATGAACTTTAAGCTTTGGCAGCCCCGTCGCGTGACTTTCATAAACACTGGGAGCACAAGCCCGGAAAGAAAGAAAGAAAGCCACCTTACAGAGTGCTGTGACCCCGAGCGAAAACAAAAAAGGGGTGGGGAGGGGGGTGTTCCTAAAATCAGTTTCGAATCACAATTTGTAGTCTGGAACGCGTCTTCGACTATAGTGCGTTTACCGCATCCCCAAATGTGGTCCCTTAATTTTAGCCCGATGACGTCATAAGAGCGCAACGCTGTCGCCTGCCGCGATCCTGACGATGCGACAGCAGCGACGGTAGACGGGGAAGATGCCTGTTCTTCTGCAGATCTTTCTGCAGCCTGACATTCAACGGAAACCATAACAGACACAAGATGGGACGCCGCGACGACAGCGACCCTCGCGTCCCCTCGTCCTCATCGCCAGCATTTCTACGACCAACCGCCAGGATCGCGGCATCCGACAACACAACACGCCGGCTCTTGTGAGGCAATTTGTTGCGGCTTTGGGCACCACTAAGTTTTGATGCATCAGCGGAAAGGACGCCAACCACAACAGTCCGAGACGCCATCCAGAGAACATCGTCGTGACAAACGAGTGTGCTCATTTCGTTGCTAAGTCTAAAAAAAAAAAAAAAAAAAAAAAAGCCACGGGGAATTTGAAATGCTTTCACGCCATGCGCTATAAGTTGAAGGACAATCGAGACTAGGTTGATTTTGAAGAAAATTGGCCCCGAAATGGTATAGTGACCGCTAGAGCTCCGCTGAATCGTTGTGTGTGTTTTCTATCCGCAGAACCCCAAAAGAACCACGACGGCGTCTACTTCAACAGACAAGGTAAGCGGGCTACCGGATTTTCGATCCATCTTTCTTGTGAATGTCAAAAGGCGATGGGCACGCGTTCCGCAATAGACCCGTAGCTCTCAAGTTTTAAACAGCGCCCCTGGCGAGCAACAGAAGATATTTTTAGGTCGCGTTTCCGCTGCGCGTAGTGATGCCTCATTCAAACGCTCTGTCCGCGCGCATGAACCACGAGCAGACGCTGAGGAACGACGCTCACAGACGCTAGTTTACGCCCATGGAAGGTGGGTATGATGGGACGCTGATACACCACTTCACGTCAGCAGTAAATGGTCGCGTTTCGCAGACTCTAGCGGAGGCGCCTTTTTTGCGGTCGCGTTTCGTGAACGTTCAGCGCCCCTGGCCGAGAGCAACAGGCCCATGTCCACCTTGTCTGTGATGAGGATTTTTAATGCCGCGAGAGGGAGGGTTCAAATGGGCGAATCAAAAGAAAATTATAAATTTAAGTTAAAATTTCATGCAGTGAACGTAGCTTCGCACTCCAGCTGTTTAAGCTGCGCGACACAGCTCGCTTCCTTTTCGCGTTGGACTGTACAGGGTGTTTTGATTTTATTTAAACAAACTTGTTATAAATAAATGCCGCGAAAGATACACTGCTGCGGTCTGTGCAGGTGAGTTAACTAAAGTTTGTTCATGTACTTTTCAATTAGTCAGAGAGAAAGATGAAATATTAATTGTGGAACAAACAGCTCGTTAATTAGTGAAAATAAACATATGGTTCCAATTGAAAACTTACTGAGCGTCATCCAAAGACCACTATATCAATTCATTTTAGAAATATTTTAAGCATCTGGCAAGTGCGGGTGTTCGCTAATGTTTTGCAATAGTGGCAGTCCGAAAACTAGATTATAATCTTTTCATAATATGGGGCTTTTTGTTGTGGCAAATATCACACGACTGTTTTTCCAACTGCCTTCAGCGTAGCGACGGCGTAAAATCATCAACACGGACGGCTTTCTGTTTGGCGGAGCCACCTTGCCTCGACTGAAAATAATGAGGACGGTGATTTACTGCGATTTAGTCGTGACGTCAAGAAAAAGCAAGAAAAAATAGAATCCTCCTGATGGATTCGAAGATTGTAATTACTATAGGCACGATAGTTGCTACTATTTCACGTGAAATGTTCAAACTGGGTCGCTCCAACGCCAGAGGTTGTGCGCTCACGACCGATTCACTACATGAGCCTGTCTACGACATCGCTCACAGATGCTTCCAACTACAACAAGGTAGGTTGGTCACGGGAATGTTGATGTCTAAGATTCGCTCTATTCGTTTGGGATCCTAGTTCGCTGTCGCCGAATGAAAATAGTCGCGTCGGCAGTACGGATGACCATGTTGGGCTTTCGACACGCATGATGTAGTAACGACTTCCTCGCAGTCGAAACCCTTCGCACTTCTTTGCCAGCCCCTTGCAGTGGACTGTGCTGCAATTACACCCGAAGTCCTTTCACGGCAGTAGCACTTTTCAGACGTTTCACGCACAAACGGTGGCATTCGGCACGCTCCTGTGTCGCTTGAGTTCATGCGTAGCAAAAGCTACAAGAGCGAACTCCCCGCTTTGAACGGACCTGCCCGAACATGCGCGCTCGTGCAGTGTAGGTCAGGGCGCCATGCTCGCACTCCTAGGTTCGGCTTCGCTCGCAGTTTTGCTCTATCAGAAATAGCCTTCTGCATATGTACGGTGCCCATGGTTTTCACGTTACCATACGCTTCTTTATAAACGATGCTCGGGTGCAATAAAGAAGCTACAAGATCGAGAGCAACAGTTTGGGAGGAGTTGTTATGCAGGCACGCTCATAAAGTAAAAACCTCGTTCAAGACAACACGCTCGTGCTTTTAGCATCGGCCTCGCTGGCATTACGTCCTTCCAGTGTAGACCTTTTCCTTGATAATGCAATTTAATGCAAAGGTGCAAGCGAGCTGGACCAGAATGATGAAATTAATCCCTGGAGGAGGGGAACAAGGAGTACAAAGGGCAAACACGAATCTCCAAACACAACTAGGCGACTGGTGCGCGACCGAAAAAATCCGCCTGGTCCAGGTATTGAACCAGGGACCTTTTCATTTCCAGTGGAGCGCTCTATCAACTCAGATAACCAAGAGTCAGACGTCTGTAGAGCAAACGAGTTTTATCAGCTGCCACCAGCCTAACACCAACAAGGGTGAACGGCTAGCATTTTTAAGGTTATGATTGATAATGCAATGCAATGCAAAGGTGCAAGGGAGCTGGACAAGAATGACAGAGACAGAGTAAGACCTTACAGACTGGAATATTACAACAAAAATAACTATATATATATATATATATACAACAGGGTAAGCGAGATTGAGTGACAGAAGCAATGAAAACGTGAACACTTTCTAGCGTCGTGACGAGACGTAACAATGTTTTCCCACATACAGGAAGCTTCGCGATTCAAGATGGCAATGCCAGTGTGGAAGGGTCTATAGACCTTTTTCCACAAGGGCGCCGCCATCTTGAATTGCCGTCACTTCCAGTATGGGCGAAAACATTGTTTTGCCGTCGCTACGCCAATAGAAGACATTTAGGATATAAGCGTAACCGTTACCGAATTTTCTTTTGCCTCCCTTCTCTTTTTTTTTACTAGTTGCAGGTTTAAATGTTTTAATATTTTTGGTCGGCCACACCGTATACTAGTATGCCTATCAGGTGGCTGGGGACGAAAGTACACGGAAAAAGGTCTATACGCGGACCAACGTTATTAGATTAGCTCGGTTACGGGACTGCTCATAGCCGCTGCTTGCACGAACAGTACCCCCATCACTCACCACGACTCGCCTCCCGTCGATCGACGCGCCGGACGGCTGCTATGGGAACTGCAATGTATTCTGTGGAATAGATACGTTTCGAAACACAGCGTCTAGGTGGCGTTCAAGGTCTGCTCTATAGAATACGCAGTTATGAAACGAAAATTTAGGTGGCGCTTCAAACGACGGCAGGTGGATTGAAGTGAGTGAGGGGGGTCACCCCCTTCCGCAGGAGTTCAGCAACTGAAGTAATCTAGTAACGTTTACACGGACTGAACTTTGTGACGTCACGGCGCGGGGGTGGCGCGTCGGTCGCACTTCCGATCTGGCGCTGTGGGCAGAAGCCCCCGTGCCAGACGTGTACACCTGCGTTGTTTTGAAAGGAACCAGACAAAAACCTGCCTTCTCGTCAAAACCCTGCGACTGGGGCCGTACCAAAAGTGTCAAGAAAGGTTTGAAGGTCAGTTTTCACGTGCTCGGTTCGTCCGAGAATCTGGATATGTGCCGTGAAAAGGAAAAAGCAGACGCCGTCGGACAACGGTTGCTTGGGCGGGATGCACTTTGGGTTGAATTCACGGATACTTGTGGTCATCAGATTTATTTGTTTTATTCAAACATGAACGCCAGAAAACCGACAAGTTGTGCGGACCACCTGGGGACTACGTTCAGTGCGTCTTCAAACGGCCGCCTGATCGTTCGAACTATCGTCTGCTCTTTCAGACGTTTCTGCTTGTCGTCTGCTCTCTTAGACGATGCCGGCCCGTAGACCAAATGTTGGCCCGGTACTTGCGATTAGAAGTAAGTGCAGGCCTCAAAAGACTTAAATTTGAAAGTTGGTAACCAGGCTCGATGTAAACAGTAGATACAAGGAGATGATGATCATTGTTACCAGTGACCATTACCGACCTGTTATGCCTAATTCACTTGGTCCGATTCTGCTTGCGATTTTCAGTATCGACGTCGACCATCTCAGCTACGGTTCACGTGTTTGCAGCCCGAGCGGCGTCGCGACTGAAAATTGCGAGCGAAATTTCATCATGCGAATCAGGATTTAGCGTACATACTGCGGCGTCTACGCGGAATAAATCTCCACATGTCACATTATTCACGTGAAGTTTTGCGGTGTAACGAGCCCCGGTAATTTCGCTGACGCCGCTCAAGATAGTCAGACGTCGCCATGATGACGTAGAATCAATAATTCAAACGCGAAAAATGGCAGGGGGACTCAAGCCTGGTTCACATGCAGCGGTTTTGGCCCTAGAGCGGCGCGATTTCTGCGTCGCCGTTGCAATTGTCTATAGGGAGTATTCACTGGCGGCCATAGCTGTGTGCGCGAATGCTGAGCGCGTGCTCATGCAAGCTTCCACAGTTCTTTTGCAACGTGCATTCCGCACCATCAAGAGTGCCGGTTTTAGCAGCCTACTGATGTGAGCTCGTTCTGAGCGTGCGCTCTAAACAGCACCCAAAAATATGGCGTCCAGGGAATACTCCTTATAAAGAGCGTCTGGCAAGTGCCATGTTCAGAGTTCGTGAAAATGGCGCGTGCTTTGCTCGCTTTTCGAAGCCACGAACACATGTGTGCTGGTCTGTGGAGATCACACGCTGGGCGATCGATTTGAAAAAATTGTAAAAATGTAGAGGAAATGGGCGATGAAAAAAAAAAAATGAAGAATCACCATAGTTTACAGAATGCAAAAAAAAAAATATCATGAGCGGGGTAAGGCAAAAGCAAGTGACATCAACGCTTAAACGTAAATGACGTTTTCCTTCATAAAGGAAGTTCCGTCATTGGCGATGACGACGACAGGGCATACAAGGTGTATGCGCGACTGCTTCACGGAAACGAAACATTCCAAAGAGCTAAATAAACGGTCGAGCAGCATGCGCTATCAGTCTCGTCAAGCGCCCACCTTTTTCTCGCTGTTCATAAACACCAGTGCGTTTACTCAATCCGTCTCACTTCCGGCAATTGTAGGGTTGAGTCCTACGTAATAGAGCATCAAGTGTTAAGCCGTTTTGTTTTACGTATTCCCACACGCTCCGCAAATTGTATCTATATATCCTGATATTCGGCCATATGAATCTTAGCTCTCAACAGTCCCGGGTCTTGTCATCAAACGATAATGAGATCACTCAAGAATCCATTTGTTTTTAATAATAGCTTCGCACGTTCTGGCGTTGTAGATCTGGTATCAAAACAAGTGTTC